ACCCAAGACAAGTGGGATGCTATAAATAGGCTTTTCTCACTTGGGTGTTTCTTTTTCTTGCCAAAAATAACCAGGTGACCTCATAGAGCGATTGCAAAAATTATATAGGTAAGAAGGAAGCCAAGGGTGTTGTGGCTTAAGAGGTCATCGAGTAATCAGAATAGTTCAATTGCAGGGAATAATTTCATTTTTCATTCTATACTGCAGAGTTCTCCAACCTTTGAGGCTTGGTGGGCGGTGGGTGGGAGAGAAGGGGGACCCTCTAAGACCATATTGCTCAACCTTGGCAACTGGAAGATGTGTGGACTTCAACTCCCAGAATTCCTCAGACACCCTTACCAGTGTTAATGGCTGGGGAATTCGGAGACTCGAGGTCCACACATTTTCCAGCTACCAAGGTTGAGAAACATGGACCTAGAGCAGGGGTGTCAAACTCGATTTCATTGAGGGCTGCCTCAGAGTTGTGTTTGATCTTAGGGGGTGGGGCTGGGTTGGGTGTGGCCAGCTCAATGTCACTTGAGGGAGGGTGCCTGTAGGCCCGAGTGCTCTGCCAGCAAAAACGGGCTCCCGAGCTCCGTTTTCGGCTGTGATGGCCTCCTGCAACCCTCTGCCAGAGAAAACAGGCTCCCGAGCTCTGTTTTCAGCTGCGAAGGCCTCCTGCAACCTCTGCCAGCAAAAACGGGCTCCCGAGCTCTGTTTTCAGCTACGACGGCCTCCTGCAACCTCTGCCAGCAAAAACGGAATTTGGGAGGGCTGCCCTCCCGAGCTCCATTTTTGCTGACAGAAGCACTGTGGGCCGGTCCTTTGCTGTTTCCTCTAAGCTTCTGTGCAGTTCGGAGAACCCCCAAATCCCACTCCTGGCTGGCCCCGCCCCGCCCTCCCCTCCCCGGAGTCCCCGCATGGTCCATTTTGGATGCAAGTAAGTGCAGGGCACACACAGAGGTCCAGAGAAGGTGAAAAACGGGCCTACCAGAAGTTCAGGAAGGCCAGAAACAGGCCCGTTTCCGGCCTCCAGAGCCTGGGGAGGCCATTTTCGCCCTCCCGGAGGCTTGAGGAAAACCTGCAGAGCCTGGGGACAGCAAAAACACCCCTTCTCTGCCTTGGTGCAGGAAGCCGACTAGGCCACGCCCACCCAGCAACCGGGCAGAGAACCCCTTGCTAAAATTTTTGAAGCCCACCCCTGGTTATGACCATTTTCTCCACTTACGACGGTTACAGCATCTCTATGGTCACATGATCAAAATTCAGACGTTTGGCAATCGACTCATATTTACTCGCACTATCCCGGGGGTCATGTGATTCCCTTCTACTGACGAGCAAAGTCCACGAGGAAACCAGATTCACTTAACCACCGTGTCATTAATTTAAGAACCGAAGGGATTCGCTTAACAACAGTGGCAGGAAGGGTTGTAAAACGGGGCAAAACTCACTTTAACAAATGGTCTTCTTTAGCGACAAAAATGTTGGGCCCTATTGTCATCGTAAGTCGAGGAATACCTGTATTGTATAGTGACCTTGTGCTGAAAACAAGTGCTCTGCATTTCCAGAAGCTGCTCAGTTTCACATTAATTTGATACTCGGAGCTTAATAATATTAATAATAATAATAATAGCTTAATATTAATAATAATAATAATAGCTTAATATTAATAATAATAAGCTTAATAATATTAAGAGAAATTCCTGGAAATTCTTCCCCCCAACAAATAGAAAGCTGACTTAAACAGAGGTCAAAGGACAAAACAGTTATTTCCTGCAAAATATTTATTTTTTTTTAATTCTGGGCCTTCACACCCCTACAACTAAGTATATTTCATTTAATTTAAACAGATACACACACACACAATAATATAAATTCCAAATATATGTGAAGAAAATTCATTGTGTTTCCAAAGCTGCATACAGAAATGTTCAGTTTTGAGAGTAAGGGGTGGTCCTTGACTTACAACCATTCGTTTAGTGACCGAAGTTACAAGGACACTGGGGAAAAAAACTTACGACAGCTGACAATTATTAACCATTGCGGCATCATCATCGTTACGGGATTAAAATTCGGATGCTTGGCAACGGTCTCATATTTATGACGGCTGCGGGGCCCTGGGGTCATGTGATCGGGTTTTGTGATGTTCGGAGAGCAAAGTCAACGGGAAAGCTAGGTTGACTTAACAACCATGTTGCTAACTTAAATGCAGTGATTCGCTTAACAACCGTGCCAAGAAAGGTCATAAAATGGGGCAAAACCCACTTAAGAACTGTCTTGCTTATCAACAAAAATTTGGAGTTCAGTTGTGGTCGTAAGTCGAGGACTTCCTGTATGGAGTACATATGGAGGATGATTGGGGGATGCGAAAAGGGGCACGGCGATGAAGGCGTTTATCGGACAGTGTGAAATGTCCAGCTTTTTGGGCTGAGTTTTTGTGGATGTGTATGATCCATACAGCTAGTAATAACTGCATGTTATGCTTCAAAAAATGGTAAAAAGAGAAGAGCCATTGACTATGCACTATTCTGAATTGGTAGTGGGGGAAATGGTGATAGATAGATAGATAGATAGATAGATAGATAGATAGATAGATAGATAGATAGATAATGGATGGACGGACATGATTGGTTAGATGGATGGACAGGGTAGATAGAGGGATGGATGGATGGACAGACAGAAGATAGATAGATGATAGATGATAAGACAGAGACAGGATAGAAAGATAAATAGATAGATGATAGAGACAGACAGACAGACAGACAGATGCATGGATGGAGATAAGAGATATGCAGGTCAGCAAATGACAACGGCACTGAAAAAAAGTGACATGCTCGTTTTCCACATTGACAACCATTGCAGCATCTCCGTAGTCCCGTAATCAAAATTCAGATGCCTAGCAACCGACTCCTATTTATGACGGTTGCAGTGTCCCGGGCGGGGTGGGTGGGGTGTCACATGATCTCCTCCTGCGACCGTCTGACAAGCAAAGTCAATGGGGAAGCCAGAGTCCCTTAAACAACCCTGCTACTAAGGTTAACCCCTGCAGTGACTCACTTAACAACGGTGGCAAGAAAGGTTGTAAAATGGGGGCAAAGCTCACGTCGCAGCTGTCTCACTTAGCAACAGAAATGTTGGCTTCGTAAGCGGAGGACTACCTGTGTGTTTATTTAAGTTATGTTCATTTTCTGGGCCTGAAACTCACTGCTAAGAAAATGAACCAAGTACCAATATACACCCATCCTCATCTTAAGCACACACAATATCCAAAACCTTATCGAACGAAAATAAAATGATTAAAATGGGGCATAACTGCCCGGATCAAATCTGGCAATTGAATGTATTTCAGAGCAGAACATTAAAATATGGCTTTCCAAACAGATTTAAAAGCACATTCTCTTTGCTTTCATTTACTGTATGTTGTTTAAGAGATTTACTGAACTGGTGTTCAGATAATTGTTTAAGCTTAATATAAATTCCAGATATTCAGTGCTTTAAAAAAAAAGAAAGAAAAAAGAATAGCCCTCTCATTTTTTTTTTAGGGCTACCTCAAAAGACCGGTTAAGTCCTTTTTCCAATAACCATCCCTGGCCATTCAACCTGAGAATTTAATACCTCGCGCCTTATTATTAAGAAAATCTGTTCTTCGACTCAGCGATTCAGAGCATCTGTAGAAAATTATTCAAGTGCAGTCATGAAAAAAAAAAAAAAACCTCATTCATTGCATTTAAAGTTGTTGTTTTTTTAAATGCTTAAACCTCTGCCTAATGTTCTCTCTTTTTTTTTTAGGGAAAGCTAGCAGTATAAAAACAGTTTGGCTAGAACAATGTTTTATTAGAATTATTTAACAAAAAAGAAATATTTAAGACATCTATACAATTTAACATCCAGTCTGACAAAGAAAAAAAAAAGAGAGAGAGAGCAAAACCAAAATACAAAATACAAAAAAAAAAGTGCACTATTTCAATCCAGTATTTTCGTTTTGTCGTTTGTATGGGGGGAAAAAATAAAATTGGAATTAATATAACCGTTTGCACACCTGTCCCTAACAGTATTTAACACATCTGTGTCTGGGAGGTTGGAAGGTGATTTCTTAGCTTTACGGTTGAATTTCAACCGGATTTTACATCGAATTCAAGTGTGCGTTCCCTGTTTGGAGAGAGAGAGAGAGAGAGAGAGAGAGAGAGAGAGACAAACTTGGCAATATATATATATATATATATATATATATATTGCAACAATAAATGACTCGTTATTTGGCATTCCGTGAATATTTATCTCCTCCTCTTAAAACAAAAGTTTTGCATTTATAGAAGTCACGTTATCAGACCTTTTCAGTGGATACACAAATTCGGTGGATACACACACACAAAAAATCTGGCTTTTAATGGCAGAACAATCCGAGACTGGGTCCGTCCCCCCGTCCCCCCGGAATTGTGAGCGAGCTATCCTGATTAAAACTTCCAAAACAGGACAAGTTTTCACGATAAAATTTAAGGCCATGTTTTATTTGCTGATCGATGGACAAAAAAAAAAAAAAAAGGCAGTGAGTTTTCTTCCCCACCCACCCCCGGTTATTTCCTTGAAAGTCTGTGCTCGTAAAAATCACGAAAAAAGTTGGAAAGACGGAATTATTGAAACTTTTAAATATATTTTACACAATCTCCGTTTTGTACAAAAATACAAGTTAATTATAAACATAAAGCGATGATACTATTCGGTAAATCTTTTTGCGATATGCTACTATATATATATATATATCTATATATATATATATCTATATATATATTCATTTATTTATTTATAAAACATCTCATCACTGTTCTCATTGAGATCCGGACTGGATGGAATCCCGACTAGCAAAAGGGCTCTAGAATTAACACGGATCAGGTTTTTCGGCTGTAAATATTTCAATTTTAGACTGGCCAAAAATTAAAGAGGAAAAACATAATAGGGCACTGATGTCCATAAACCAACAAATAATTCGGCTAGGATGTGGCAAACACAAACACACAGATCTCTACAAGAAACCAATATCAGTACATAATTGTTGCACATATACCAACATGGAATGAAACTTTAGTGAGACGCCGTGGAAAGTTCATTTGTCTTCAACTTGGCATTTTCTCTGATTTCGTCGAACGAGTACATCTTCGTTACTACGCCGTTTTTAAACACCGTGTGAAGGAGGTCCTGCAAATGAATGCAAACCATTTGTTATGGCTTTAGTAAAAAAATAATACAGCCATCTACCAAAAAATTTAAGTGACTTAAAAAATTAAACTCAAGTTTTTTTAAAAAATTTTATATCAAATTTATATACCGCCCTTCTCCCTGAGGACTCAGGGCGGTGTACAGCCAAATAAAAACATAAACTACAAACATTAAAATACTATTAAAAAGATATATATAAATTTGGCCCCGTAATTAAAAAACAGTGACGAACCAGTTAAAAACATTTAAAAGTGTTAAGCCAGCCCGGCTTGCTGAAAAAAGAAAGTTTTAAGGGCACGGCGGAAGGCACCGAGGTCTTGGATTCTCTTTATCTCTGGGGGCAGTTGGTTCCAGATGATGGGTGCCCCCACAGAGAAGGCCCTCCTCCTGGGGGTCACCAGCCTACATTGTTTGTTCATTGAGGGTCGCATCAGGGTTTTGTTTGACCTCGGGGGTGGAGGTAGGCGTGGCCAGCTTGACGTCACTTGTGTCGGGGGTGCCTGTGGCGGCCCGAGTGTCTGCCAGCGAAAATGGGCTCCCAAGCTCTGTTTTTGGCTGCGATGGTCTCCTGCAACTCTCTGCCAGCAAAAACAGAGCTCTGGAGGGCCGCATTGCGGCCCTCCCAAGTTCCGTTTTTGCTGGCAGAGGCACTGCGGGCCGGTCGTTCGCCGTTTCCAGGGCAGCACCGTGGGCCACATCTAAGCACCCCGCAGGCCGGATCCAGCCCCCGGGCCTTGAGTGTGACACCCCTGTTTTAGAGGGCTATTGAAAACACTTGGAGGTTTATCTGTGTCCTCAGGGTCACCCGAGTAGTGCTCCTCGTTCCTGTAGTCTGCAATTTGTTTTCTCTGGAAATTCATTCCTACTCCCACACCATTCCAAGGGTGTTCATCCCAAATTGAAGAGCTAAAAGTTGGTAGAGTTGCCTCCCAAAAAAGCACCTTTGGGAAAACCATGACCTGGATGACTGAGAATCTCTACAGACTTTCCATTGATTTGTATTTTAGAATTATTATTATTATTATTATTATTATTATTATTATTATTATTATTATTATTATTATTAGTTAATCTTTAGTGAGATTCACAGCCTTTGAGGCTGGTTAATAGCTCAGCAGCTCGAGTCCTAACCAAGGACCTAGGAACTGTTAAGGTATCGTCGGAGGATGTAAGCTGTTCCGAGTAAGGTGGTTTTTTGTAGAGTCAAAATGTTCAAGTCCGGTAAATTTAGAATTTCTAAATAGCGGGGTAGCCCTTTGGGTATTGCTCCAAGGGCTCCAATTACAATCGGGACAACACACGATTTCTTTTTCCACAGTCGCTCAACTTCAATTTGCAAGTCCCGGTACTTTGTGATTTTTTCTTGCTGCTTATCTTCAATCCGTGCATCACCAGGTATTGCAATGTCAATGAACCATACTTTTTTCTTTTCAACTATTGTTATGTCAGGTGTGTTGTGGACCAAGTGCCTGTTATTATTATTATTATCTTTTATTCATTAAACATTAAACATTAAAACTTTCACACTGCTGTTTCTGTGACCATTGTAATTTCTTGTTCGGCATTCCAATCATATTATTATTATACTTTATTCATTAAACATGAAACTGAAGCCAACTGAACATTTAAAAATGTGTCATTTGGAACATAACACGCCAGATATCACAGTTTTCAAGGGCCAAAGTGTACAGTTTTTTGGTATTGCTGTACCAGGAGATGCCAGAGTCGAAGAAAAAGAACTGGAAAGAAAATCACGCAATATCGCAACCTGGCCATCGAAACTACACGGCTATGGATGAAACATGTAACAGTGATACTCATTGTCATTGGGGCACTTGGTACCATGTCCAAGAATTTTATAAGATACATCAACAAATTGCAGCTTCCTGCAATAACACCAGCGGAACTGCAAAAAAAAACTGCGCTACTTGGAACATCGTACATCTTAAGAAGGTACTTGGTTGATACCTAGGACGCTGGCAGCAACCCGTATCAACCATTAGCACCAATAAAATGTATTTGTGACACCTTATTATTTATTATTATTATTTACTTTATTCATTAAACATGAAACTCAGTCAACTGAACATTCAAAAATGCATCACAAATACCATTGACTGGTGCTAATGGTTGATACGGGTTGCTGCCAGTGTCTTAGGTATCAACCAAGTACCTTCTTAAGATGTACGATGTTCCAAGTAGCGCAGTTTTTTGAAGTTCTGCTGGTGTTATTGCAGGAAGCTGCAATTTGCTGATGTATCTTATAAAATTCTTGGACATGGTACTAAGTGCCCCGATGACAATGGGTATCACTGTTACATGTTTCATCCATAGCCATGTAGTTTTGATGGCCAGGTCGCGATATTTCATGATTTTTTTCCAGTTCTTTTTCTCCGACTCTGGCATCTCCTGGTACCGCGATGTCAATAAATTGTACGTTTCGGTTTTCGACAACTGTGATATCTGGCGTGTTGTGTTCCAAGTGACGATCTGCCTGTATTCGAAAGTCCCACAAGATCTTCACCTTCTCATTTTCTATAACTTTTTCCACTTTATGTTCCCATGACTTTGTGGATACAGGCAAGTCGTATTTTTTACATAATGACCAGTGGATTAATTTAGCAACTCGGTCGTGTTTAGCTTTGTAATCAGTTTGTGCAATTTTGCTGCAATCACATATTAAATGTGAAACAGTTTCGACTTTGTTGTTGCAAAGTCGGCAGTTTGGATTGTCGGTGGATTTTTTTTTTTAAATTTGATTTATATGCCGCCCTTCCCCGGAGACTCAGGGCGGCCTACAGTGCGTTAAGCAATAGCCTTCATACTTTTGTATATTTTATACAAAAGTTAGCTTATTGCCCCCACAAACTGGGTCCTCAATTTATCATCCTTAGAAAGGATGGAAGGCTGAGTCAACCTTGAGCCTGGCAAGATTCGAACTTACTTTAATTGCAGACAGCTGGTGTTAAATTACAGTGCTTTGTATGCAGAGCTATCCAGGCTCTATTTTTGTATCTTTGCTGTCATGGCATTAGTTTGTAGTGCTTGTTCTTGAGCAGTGAGTATTAAACTTTCCGTTTCTTTCTTGATGGTTCCCATCTTAAGCCATGCCCATGTCAAGTTGTCATCATCATCATCTTCATCATATTATTATTACTATTATTGTTATTATTGCTGTTATTATAATTATAATAAACTTTTATTCATTAAACATGTAACTCAGTCAACTGAATATTTAAAAATGTATCACAAATATTATTGACTGGTGCTGATGGTTAATACGGGTTGCTGCCAGCATCCTAGGTATCAACCAAGTTTCTTTTTAAAATGTACGATGTTCCAAGTAGCAGTCTTTTGCAGTTCCGCTGGTGTTATAGCAGGAAGCTGCAATTTCTTGATGTATTGATGATGATGATGCTTATAATAATTTTTAGTTATTTATTAAATTTTCCTCCCGCTCATCTCCGCTACAAGGTGACTGTCAGCACTTCAAGCTGCATTTACTCTAGTGCTGACATAAGAAGGAGAAGCGGAGGCGTCTGGAAAGGGACGTTTGACTTTTCACCTACTTATTTTCCCTGGAGATAATATCCCCTAGGAGATGGGATGGGAGGGGGGAAATTCCTTTGAGCTGGAGCAGTAGATTAGGGGTAGAGTGACTTGGAAGATGGCCAATGAGTGGAGGGGAGTGGGGAACGGAAAGGGAGGGTTTTGGGGCTGGAAGTCAGTGTTGGCTGCAATGGAGTCGGAGTTAGAATGTCGTGCTTAATAAATGGGAGTTTTCATTAAAGACTTTGTTTGAAATACAATTTATTTGAGACGACCTCGAAGCCTGACAGCTTACCAATTATTGGAGAACGCAAACCTGTTTGTGTTTCTGCTCTAAAACCCCCATCACAAGGCAATTCATCCCCATTCCCTTGAGCCCACAAAGGAAAGTGAAGCATTTACGTTACCTGTCCATATTCTTCTAGATCCCCTTTGCCTTCTTCTAGCGTGACGAAATCTCCGTTCGGCGTTCTGTGTAAGGACAACCTTCCTTTCTTTGACCGTTTGTTGGGATCGGCAACGGGATCTTTGAAGACATTCACCTGGAAGTCAAAGTTAAAAGGAATTCAAATACCCACGCTGATTTCGGTGAATCCCCCCCTTTTCCCCCCCTCTCAAGTAAAGATTACATTTAGAGAACATACCCCGAGGCCATTAGTAACCACGTAACTGCATTTGAATGAGCAGTTCAAGAGATCTCTGGTTAATTTCTGCAGAAGGGCTCCACCCGAGCCGAAGGAGATGTTTTCAATGCTCCATTTCTGCTTTTTCATGCCCTCCACAATCTGGAAAACGATAGAAAACGCTTTTAAGCATCGCGCCAGCCAAGGTAACAGATTTTAAATTAAGCCTATGCCTCATAATCTACAGGCAGTGACTTGACTTTTTCAAAACGTTGGGTTACAAAAACGAAGGCTGTTTCTGCTACGTTATGTTGCTTCACAAAAATTGCATAAGACCGTTTTTGGATTTTTTTTTTGGAAGTTACATTTCTCCACAAAATGAAAAAAAAAAAAAAAATTGACAGAATCCTGTCTGGATCCTTGTTAAGAAATATTCTGGAATAGCTAGAGAATCTACTGTTAACAGTCTTCCAACCCATATGATACATTTAAATATATATATATATATATATATATATTGGAAGTTTTGAGCACCTCTGGAATTTTAAGAAGAGTTCTGGACCTCCCTACAAATAGTCAGAAAACAAGTCCTTGAAATGTGTGTCAGTCCTCTCAGGCAGGAAACTTGAGAAGATGAATTAACGCTACATTGTTAGGCTATCTTAGTAGAATCTTGTAACAGAGTTGGAAGGGACCTTGGAGGTCTTCTAGTCCAACCCCGCTTAGGCAGGAAACCCTACACCACTTCAGACAAATGGCTATCCAACATCTTCTTAAAAACTTCCAGTGTTGGATCATTTACAACTTCTAGGGGCAAGTTGTTCCACTGATTAACTGTTCCAACTGTCAGGAAATTTCTCCTTAGTTCTAAGTTGCTTCTCTCCTTGATTAGTTTCCACCCGTTGCTTCTTGTCCTGCCCTGAGGTGCTTTGGAGAATAGCTTTGACTCCCTCTTCTTTGTGGCAAGGTAAATGTTGCTTTTCTGGTTTTGCCTTTTACTGTCCCCTTGTTAAACATGGGGGGGGGAACCAGTTTTTTAACTGGGGGGAAAAAAAATCCTCAGAGGGCCAGGTAGAATTCATAATAAAAGAAAACAGCGTGGCTGAAAGTTTTGTTGGTGTCCCAGGTTTAAGAAGAAAAAAATCTGCTTAAAATAAATTGGGGGGGGGGGGGGACGACGACCCTGTATTGATCCTGAGTGGGTAGCCCCAATGGAGACATCCAGTGGTGTAATCTACTCTTGGTTGTTATTCAACCTGGAGAGGTCACGTTTGCGCAAGACAATCCTTTCCATCCAGCTATCTTCTTACACATATAATCCAAACCACCAGAAACGATTTTAGTTTCGTTTACTTTATTTTGTCATTGCACCTCGTACCACGAAATTAAATGCCATCTTCAGTGTACATCATACATAAGAAAACTATAAAAATAAAACAAAGTCACACATCCTTCACGTTCTATACAACTGAATTGAAAATCCCCGATATTACATCAATATTGCACTATGCAGTAGAATTCAAAATAGTTACTGCCCTGGGATAGAAGCTGTTTTTCAGACTATTTGTCCTTGTTTTTATTATCCTGTACCGTCTGCCAAATGGTAATAGTTCAAATAAAAAAAAAAGGGGTGTGTGTGTGCCCAGGATGAGGTGGATCTTTAAGAATGTTTTGAACTTTCTTAAGGCAGTGGGAGCTATAAAGCTCTTCCAAGGAGGGGAGGGGGCAATCAATGATCCTCTGGGCAATGACGTTGACCCTCTGGAGCACTGTCCCATCTGCCCGTATGCAATTGGCAAATCATACATAGATGCAGCAGTAGGAGGTCACCAGCAATTTTTCATTCAGTTGTTGTTCCCTGAGAAAACTCAGGTACCATGTTTCCCCAAAAATAAGACCGGGTCTTATTTTTGCTCCAAAAGATGCATTTTCTGGTTAGGTCTTATTTTGGGGGGGGGAGAAATACGGTACTAAATGCCTCCATCTGGCTGACAATCTTAACTGGGGTTTATTTCGGAGGTAGGGCTTATATTACGAGCATCCTGAAAAATCATGCTAGGATTTATTTTCCGGTTGGGTCTTATTTTTGGGGAAACCGGGTAGTATAATCTCTGCTGGGCCCTTTTGACCAGCGCTGCAATGTGAGCGCTCCAAGTGAGGTCCTCTTTTTATGACAACGCCCAGAAATTTTTGAAAATGCAAGTCCTTTTCCCCCCTCCCCTGGAAAACCTGTGGTTTTCCTTTGAAAGGCGTCTGTTCAAGGTTAAGTAACATTTTGTACATGTCAAGTTACACCCTGAACAAGATCATCGAAAAGCATCATGGGAGTTAAGATGGTGACCTCGGGCAGAGGGTCGTGGGGCACCGTCTTGTCCTCAAGTGAATTCAACCATGCCTGGTGGGTTTTTTTGGGTGTATGTATGTGTGTTCTGACCTAGGCTTCCGTAGCAGCACGAAACCGAGTCCTCATCCCAATAAACCCCTTTTATTTAATTTACAGTGAATTCCTCCCCAGCAATGTCTTTCCTCTTTCCTCTCCCATAGTCTTTCAAGATAGTTCACAATTACCGACTTTTATCAGGCTTGGAGAGTGGCCAGGCTGATATCTTCAAAACATGGCAAGGAGTCACAACACAATTAAGCGAACTAATTGTCTCCTACAAACATCCCTCCCCTTCGCTCCTCTTTATTCCCTATGGGAGGGACCATTCACCGTCCACCTGTGGCTTTACTCCTGAGCTGACCCTTATTCCTTAGCTGTTCCCTTCTCCTAGCAGCTCTGCGCATGCGCACACTGGGAACAGGCTCCAGCTGTTCTTCTGCCCCACTGATGTCCGACTCCGAAGGCAGCTGACAACTGTCAGACGGCCCTGGCCCCCTCTCTGCCTCCGACGCAGAGCCCTCGTCAGAGCCTTCCCCAGACTCCAGGGCTGGCCCATGTTCCTCCCCAACCTCCTCACTGTCTGAATCTGCTGCCAGATCCACTGGCCGCTTGGCGAGCCACAACAGGGAGTTTCTACTTCCTGAAATTTACAGCAAAGAGGATGTGGCGAGATTTTGTAAGATTTCATGCTACGCGTGGGATCTCGTAAAGTTTCTGTACCAACTGAATATCTCCTGAATTGCAAAAACAAAAACAAAAACCCCAGCACTGGCAAAGGATTGAAAATTGAAGGGGAAATTGCCGGTGACAGGGGGAAAAAAAAAAAGGAGGGAAAAAGGTAACTAGAGGAATTCTAGGTTTTAGTTTCAACCATTTTGGTGCAAATACACCTTTGGAAGCACTATGCTATTAAGAAATAATGTATTTTCCTATTGAAATCTTAGGGGACAAAGAGAAATATTTCTCAAGGTTTTTAACATTCTGTATAGACAGATTTGAGAGCAGAGCCGCCAATTAAGGTATGGTTGTTTTTAATGGTGCCTGTGTTAGAAGGTAACTGAAGTACTTATCTAGAAATTAACAGAATAATAGAGTTGGAAGGGACCTTGGAGGTCTTCTAGTCCAACCCCCTGCTCAAGGCAGGAGACCCTATACCTGTGATGGCGAACCTATGACACGCATGCCACAGGTGGCACGTGGAACCATATCAGTGGGCACGTGAGCTCAGCTCGCCAGCTGATTTTCAGGCCTTCTGGGCCCATTGGAAGTAGGGAAACAGGCTATTTCCTGCCTCCAGAGGGCCTGAGGAGTGTGGGGAGGGCCCGTTTTTCTCTCTCCCCAGGCTCCAGAGCCTTTCTAGGAGCCTGGGAAGGGTGAAAACGGCCTTCCCCACCCCCCCAGAGGCCCTCCGGAAATGGTCCGTTTGCCGGAAGTTGGCAAATGGGCCTTTTCTGGCCTCCCAGGCGGGTGGGGAAGGCCATTTTCACCCTCCCCAGGCTCTTAGAAAGGCTCTGGAGCCTGGGAAGGGCGAAAAACAGGCCTACCGACCCCACCGTGCCATCACATGCCAAAAGCAGGGGGAGCCCTGCGTGCATGCGCAGGGGGCGGGGCGCATAGAATTATGGGTGTGGGGACGTGCACGCACGACCCTCCCTCACTCCCCCACTTTTGGCACGCGATGGCAAAAAGGTTAGCCATCACTGCCCTATACCATTCTGGACAAGGGGATGTCCAGTCTCTTTTTAAAAAGCCTCCAGTGATGGAGCAGCCACGGCCACAAAATTAATCCTTCGAGACCGACTTCTGCCACCAGTAGCCTCCCACCGGCCAGTCCGCTCCCACAGAGAGGGTCTCCTCAGGGTGCCATCGGCCAAGTTATGTCGGCTGGCGACACCCAGGGGGAAGGCCTTCTCTGTGGGAGCCCCAGCCCTGTGGAACGAACTGCCCCCGGAAATTCGTAAGATCTCCGACCTCCGGGTGTTTCGCTGTGCACTGAAGACCCTGTTGTTCCGCCAGGCTGGGCTATCAACATAATAATTTTAAATTGGGGTATTTTAAATTTGTGGGGTTTTAAATTGAGCCAAATTTATTTAATTATTTTAAATTTTTAATCAATGTTTTGTCTTGTGTTTTTAAATAGGCTGTAACCGCCCTGAGTCCTTCGGGAGAAGGGCGGTATAGAAATAAAATTATTATTATTATTATTATTATTATTATTATTATTATTATTATTATTATTATTATTATTATTATTAATCAGAAAAGTCACACCTCTTGCAATGTGTTGATATCCACACCGTCTCCTTGAATAATTCTGAGGTAAGGTGGCAACACTTTATAACCTTTTGAATTTTCTGTAATGGGGAACTTCTTTCCTAAAATTTCCAAAACCTAAAGAGAGAGAGAGAGAGAGAGAAACCAGGAGGATAATGAATTTAAAACAGAAGTTATATAACAAAAAGATTTTAAAGGAAGAAAAATTCAAATCCAGTCGCTTTTATTAAAATTATTCCGGAAGGAACTTTTGGATTAAAACTTGCTTCAGCATACACAGGTGGCTAGAAAACATGATAGGGAACCATGTAGATTTTAAACCTGAATTGTTTTTAATTAGGTATAATATCAGAAAAATTAGATAAGAAAAGTATGTATTTAGTATTACATGCTGTAACAGCAGCGAGGATTATATTCGCACAATATCGTAAAAAATGAAGAAGAAACACCGCGAGACGAAGAGATAATGAAGAAGATACTAGTCTGCGCAGACATGGACAGATTGACATTGAAACTTCAGCAGAAAGAAGACACAGAATACTATCAAACATGGAATCTATTTTACCGGTGGTTGGAAAAAGGGACGGAGATTAAGAATATAGAATAGAATAGAATAGAATAGAATAGAATAGAATAGAATAGATAGAATAGAATACAATACAATACAATACAATACAATACAATACAATACAATACAGAAAGAATAGAGTAGAGTAGAAATAATGGAATGGAATGGAATGGAATGGAATGGAATGGAATGGAATGGAATGGAATAGAATAGAATAGAATAGAATAGAATAGAATAGAATACAATACAATACAATACAATACAGAAAGAATAGAGTAGAGTAGAAATAATGGAATGGAATGGAATGGAATGGAATGGAATGGAATGGAATGGAATAGAATAGAATAGAATAGAATAGAATAGGAATAGAATAGAATTCTTTATTGGCCAAGTGTGATTGGACACACAAGGAATTTGTCTTGGTGCATACGCTCTCAGTGTACATAAAAGAAAAGATACATTCATCAAGAATCATAAGGTACAACACTTAATGATAGTCATAGGGAAACAGTCAATATAAATCTTAAAGATACCAGCAACAAGGTTATATATAATCAGAATTGTTAAGCAAATTAAATATCCAGACAACACGATGTTTATTAAGTGCTAAGCAATGTAATCAATAAAAAAAAATCAATAAAATTGGGGTGGGGGGCGCGAAGAAGTCTGGTTGAAGGAGCTAAGCGGCCTGCGCTGAATTAGTGATTTAGCAATAATTGATTTTACTCTGTAATTTTGAAAATCTTTAACTCCGAGCCCTTACCTTCAGCACCGTGTCCAGAGGATTTCCGGAATCTGGCCGGATAATCAGAGGAGCTTCTGCACTTCTCGACTCAATCAAATGCCTTAAATCCTCACCCCAGATTTGTTCGCAAGCATTGTAAATGTCGTAACTGTCACTGACCACAGACACAGGCACTGAAGAGAAATGGGTCACAATATGTTTGAAAGCATCTTTTTCGTGGTCTTTCCCCCAAGCTGTTATAGTACTGGAAGAAGAGGAGGTGTTGATTAAATTCGGAGACATTTATATCCTTTCGTATACTTCTGCTTGTGATCAAAAGTCCTTTAGGTCAGGGGTCTCCAACCTCGGCAACTTTAAGACTTGTGGACTTCAATTCCCAGAATTCTGGGAGTTGAAGTCCACAAGCCTTAAAGCTGGTTGAGGAATTCTGGGAGTTGAAGTCCACAAGTCTTAAAGCTGGCTGAGGAATTCTGGGAGTTGAAGTCCACAAGCCTTAAAGCTGGCTGAGGAATTCTGGGAGTTGAAGTCCACAAGTCTTAAAGTTGCCAAGGTTGGAGACCCCTGCTTTAGGTAGCAAACAGTGGTGATTGTTTTTTTTTTTTCTTGGAGCAAGTTTAGACAATGTTTTCATTCATGTGAAAGTGTTAAAAATCTTCTTCACTGCCTTATGGAAGTTTTCTATCGCTCCTATCTCAAGCAACTGGCCCCCGTGTAGATGGATTAATTATACTTAAATCAATTTTGTTAGAGTAGTATTGATTTCCCAAAAGAACTTAATGATGAAGAGTCTCAAATGAACCTAATTAGAAAAATGGAGCCCTTGAATCAAAGGAAATGATGGACTAATACTCTATCCATAACAATTTTTATTAAAAATAATAATAATCCCAAAACAGGGCACTGATGCATTTGAAATGACAACAATATTATTTTTTATTATAAATTATGTGTAAGTGACGATCGATTCCCAAAAGGAACTGAGAACGCAAATGTAAGATGTCGGCATGGAATTAATTCAAGAAGTTGAATCTTTCATTAGTTTTTAATGAAATTATAACACATGAAATAAAAGCTGCAAATAAACTGAACGCTGCTGGAAATTACTGGCTGGCATCAGAATTGCTGATGAACTGCAACTATGTGGCATGTGTGGTGTTTCTGTGGTATGTGGTTAGATAGAGACAGACAAAGATAGGGAGAGAAAGAGATAGGGATGATATAGATAGATAGATAGATAGATAGATAGATAGATAGATAGATAGATGATGGAAGATATAAATGATAGATGGATGGAGAGAGAGAGAGCGAGCAATACAGATGCGAGAGAGATAAAGATAGGGAGAGACAGATGCAAATGTGAGACAGAGATAGATAGATAAGATAGATGATGGATGGATGCTATAAATGATAGATGGATAGAGAGAGAGAGCAATACAGATGCGAGAGAGATAAAGATAGATAGGGAGAGACAGATGCAAATGTGAGAGAGATAGAAAGATAGATAGATAGATAGATAGATAGATAGATAGATAGATAGATAGATAGATAGATAGATAGATAGAGGATGATATAAATGATAGATATGGATGGATAGAGAGAGAGCGATACAGATGCGAGAGAGATAAAGATAGATAGGGAGAGAGATACTGATCAGAGAGACAGAGACAGAGAAACAGAGAGAGAGAGATACAAATGTGAGACAGAGATAGATAGATATATAGATGGAATGATAGTTAGACAGACAGACAGACAGATAGATGATGGATGATATAAATGATAGATATGGGTGGATAGAGAGAGAGAGAGAGCAATACAGATGCGAGAGAGATAAAGATAGGGCGAGAGATACTGATGAGACAGAGAAATATATATATATATATAGAGAGAGAGAGATACAAATGTGAGACAGAGATAGATAGATAGATAGAGACATAGACAGAGAGTATCCCGATAGATAAATAGATGGAAACATAGACAGAGAGAGAGAGAGATACAGATAGAAAGATGGATAAATAGATAGATGGAGAAGGAGAGAGGGAGGGAGGATAGTCCTTGTCTATTATGTCTATGGAGATTCTCACTTATCCTGGTCATGGTTGTCAGCTGATAAGGATAACCAAAAGAATAGGCTGCTATATTGAATATCAATAAAACAAACACAGACCTGTGTTCAGCAGCTGGAATGGAATAACCTGGGACAGGGTCTTTTGTGCCGTAATATTTCTTAATTAAAACAATTCCTGCTACGGTATCCGTGCCTTTGAAGTTCACCAAATGCGCCGAAGCTCCGATTCCTGCAGTCTGGGGAAAATAATGGTTTCCGTTTTAATGAACCCTCGAGTCAAATTCAGCAATCCTTTCTCCGGTTTTACAACATACATCTAAAAAGGCAATTCAGAGAGTCTTCGACTTACAACCGTTCGCTCAGTGACCGTTCGAAGTTACAAGGGCAGTGGAAAAAAAAGCGACTTATGACCGGTTCTCCCACTTATGGCCGTTGTGGTCATGTGATCAAAATTTGGACACTTGGCGACTGTGTCTGGTTGCAGTATCCCGGGGCCACGCGATTCCCTTTTGTAACCTTCCCAGCCGGTTTCCGATAAGCAGTAAGTCAATGGGGGAAGCAAGATTCGCTTAACGACAGCATAATTCACTTCACACCTGCAGTGATTCGCTTAACAATGGTGGCAAAAAGGTTGTAAAAGCTCACTTAATAACTGCCTTAACAAAACGTTTGGGTTGTAGTCCTAATGTGACGACTACCTGCGTATAACCGAATATCACCTTACACAGTTGCCAGGTGCGAGTCGGCAGCAATATAAAATTTCTAAAATAATTATAATAAATAAAATAAACGGGCTGCTCTATTCGGAGATTCAGCAAATGGCCGAGAATAGACTTATGTTGCTAAGAGAGACAGTGGACTTTGCCTCATTTTACGACCTTTCTCGCCACAGTCCTTAAGTGAATCCCTGCAGCTGTTAAATTAGTAACACGGTTGTTAAGTGAATCTGGCTTCCCCATTGACTTTTGTCAGAAGGTCGCAAAAGGGGATCCCATAACCCATGGACACTGCAGCGGTCATAAATATGTGTCAGTTGCCAAGCGCTTGTATTTGGATCATGCGACCGCGGGGATCATGTGACGGCCGTGAGTGTGAAAACGGCAGCAAGTCACTTTTTTCAGTGATGTTGTAACTTTGAATGGTCACTAAATGAACTGTTGTAAATCGAGGACTAGCTGTATATCCTGGATTTTGGAATATCTGTCCAGGGATGTTCGCTTGGTGTCTTTTCAGCAATTATTCTCCCATATTTTTAAACAAGTGCTGCTATCTTAGCTTCTTAACTTTTTCCTGTAGCTTTTCATTCCCAGGGCTGGAATTCATTACATTCTCTTACATGCTGCCACTTTTTAGGCCACGTTTTCATGGACGTCATTATTCCAGAGCTTTAATTTAGGGCTTAAATTGTTAGGGCTGTGTTGTAAACCCTCTGAGGATGCTCCATGCCAAGTGGCATGGCAATGTTTTCAAGCTACCGTATTTTTCAGACTATAAGACGCATCGGACTATAAGATGCACCTAAATTTACGGGAGGAAAACAAGAACAAAAAAAATAGGTTTTGGCCTCCGCGCGTCAGATTTTCGCCTTCCCTGGGCCCCAGAAGCTCTGCAGGCCAAAAATGGGCATGTTTTTGGCTAAAACGGGCCGTGCAGAGCACTGCAGAGTGCTTCTAGGAACTGGGGAGGGTGAAAACACGATGCACGGAGGACTTGGGAGCCCAAAAACAGGCCCGTTTTTCATGAAAACAGGCCGTGTGGAGCACTGCAGAGTGTTTCTGGGGACCAGGGAGGGTGAAAACGCGATGCACAGAGGGTTTAGGAAGGCAAAAATGTCCGTATTTGGTCTATAAGACACACCTATATTTTCGCCCACTTTTTTTGGGGGGGGAGGTGCGTTTTATACTCCGAAAAATACGATAAGTTAAGTAATCGAGAACGTTACCTCTTGCGAAGACACCCCTCTGTAACCGAAGTCGTGAAGCTTGTATTCCAGTCCTTCTAAGCTGCCTGAGGTTTCCAACAAGTATTTTGCCAGTATCTTCTTCTGTTCCCTGGAATTTGTAGCTACTGTGATGGGATACCATGACTGAACAAGAATTGTCTAGCAAAAGAATAAGGTACACCATCAATAAGATTAGATAACCTTGTTCGTCACTTTTATTTTTTCCTGTGAGCACATTGGCACACATTAAAAAATGAAATTCTGATGTTTGCTGTCAAAAGAATACACATACACAAACACACACACACAGAGGTAGTGCTCAATTTATGATTACAATTGGTTTTTGAAGAAGAGAATGGACTTCCATTTGTCTGCAATAGCAATAGCACTTAGATGTCAGGGTTTCAAGTAACACTCCCAACGAAAGAAAACTCTGAGGCTTGAGGTTCCTCAAAGTTCCATTTTATTAGAGATTCCTCAAAGTTCCATTTTATTAGAGATGTCCTATTGGCACATCTGGGAAAACCCGAATCTGAAAGTTTCCAGGTTTTCTCCACCCAAAGAAAAGTCCCTGCACAGCACCCACAAATCCATCACATGGTCCAATCAAAGCACCGTCCCAACTGGAGATGCCTCCCAGTTCCAGCCTTCCAGGTGCAGGGCAAGATGTCCTTGACTCTCTGAGAAAGGAATGTTATTATGACTACATATCACCCATGCTCTATTTTAAAATTCCACACTACCCACCTCAATCCAGTTTGTGAGCCAGTAACAATTTGGATCCGTGTTTTCAACTGTGAAAAGTACATTTCCCCTGGGAATGACAAATCCCTCGGGAACAGCCTTTATTTCAATAGGAAGACGGCCATCGTACTTCTATGAGGTAAAAGAGAAACAGAAGGATGGTTTTGAAAACACTCAAACACTACCATCTATTTAGCTGGATAAAAAATAGGTTTTAATATAAATACAGTGGTACCTTGGTACTCATTAATTGAGTACCAAAATCAAATGCTTCCAAGGAATAATATAGTGCTGGGGTCCCCAACTCCTGGTCCGTGGATTGGCACTGGGCCATGGCATGCCAGAAACCGGGCCGCGCAAACAAACAAAACCACAATTCGCGGGATGAAGGCAGCACGTGAAATCACACCCCTTTCGGTCCGCGGAAAAACCTCTCTCCACCGAACTGGTCCCCGGTCCCCAAAACTTTGGGGGTCATTGATATAGCGAGTCACAAGGCAGACAACACTGCTAAATCCTAGCTTGTGCACTGAGTACCAAATAAACGATGAGTATCGGGACAAAATTTGTTTTTACCTCAAGAATATAGTTCCATCCTGGTTCATTGAAGACATCGTCTTGAAAATGTTCCTTGTATACTTCTTTGGCTATCTTTATTTTCTCTTTGGTTACCACTTTGCCTATGAAACAATTCAAACTGTATTATATACACAAAGAAAGTCTGTGTCAGACATGAGTTATCTACTCTGAAAGTTGTTTTGAAAATATAATATTTTTTTTTTAAATTTGATTTATATGCCGCCCTTCTCCGAAGACTCAGGGCGGCTTACAATGTGCTCAGCAATAGCCTTCATCCTTTTGTATATTTATACAAAGTCAGCTTATTGCCCCCACAATCCGGGTCCTCAATTTACCTACCTTAGAAAGGATGGAAGGCTGAGTCAACCTTGAGCCTTGACGAGATTCGAACCCTGCAGTAATTGCAGGCAGCTGGTCTTAATAACCAGCTTAATAACAGGGTGCCTTAAACCACTGTACTACCAAGGCTCTTGTGTAGGCTCAAGATTGTGTGTGTGTATTTTAAATTCAAATAATATATCAAAAAATATTCCTTCTGCTACTGCTGATTTTGGAGAAGCCAAAGAGATAAATTAAGAAGCCACATATATCTTTTAGCAAATAGAGAATTGACAGCAATTCCTATTTGTCCATGTTTAAAATTGATTTTGTCTATCTGCCAAATAATCCAAGAAATAATTGGAACTGAAATTCCACCACCACACTCAATCAAGCATGTTGCTCAAAATGGATTCCTGGATATTGATCATTAAATTTATAATGTGATGGAATTCAGACATGCCTTCTTCTTAGGTTGGATTAAAAATACATCCTCCTGAAATTAGGATCTTCAAGCACCTCAACATTCCCATGCTATATTTTATCAAAGGGAAGTATAACAGCAATATTTTTTATTTGTTAGATACTTGTAGCCTTCCTCGTTTACACAAATCCATTAAGTCTTAAAAGACAAAAGAATAAAATAAGCACCGTGCTAATAAAACGTCACTTGAATCAAAATTGGAATTTGGAAACAAAACTAATTTTTAAACATAAATGTCAACATCACAGCCCAAGTAGTATGAATTTGCACTTTTGCATGTAAAACATTTTCCCTCCAAAAGTTTATAATAAAATGAAGAGAGTTTGGTTCATTGTTTCTCAAATATTTCAGTAGCTGAACGTAATAAACAGTTCCCTTGAAATCAGACTATAGGGAGTCCTTGATGTACGACCACAATTGAGCCCAAAATTTATGTTGTTAAGTGAGACATTTGTTAAGTGAGCTCTGCTCCATTTTGGGACCTTTCTTACCACAGTCGTTAAATGAATCATTGCAGTTGTTAAGTAAATCTGGCTTCCCCATTGACTTTCCTTATCAGAAGGTCGCAAAAGGGGATCACATGACCCCGGGATATTGCAACCGTCATAAATGTGAACAGGTTGCCAAGCATCTGAATTTTGATCATGTAATCGTGGGGATGATGCCATCGGTCCTAAGTGTGAAAAATGGTCCTTTTTTCAGTGCTGTTCTAACTTTGAACAGTCACTGAATGAATTGTAAGTCGAGGACTACCTGACAGCATAATGATGTTGTCAACTTGCAAAGCTTTCAAGTTGCCATGAGCAGGAGGGAGGGAGAACTGATAGAGCTGATTGATTTCCCTAACTGAAGTGCATTCCATACATTCTTCCTGACCGCAATCAGAAGGAGGGTGTTGGATTTCACAGCCAGCCAAAGTGGTTATTTGGAGAATGTGATTTATGACATGGCCAGAGAGGAGGGGAGAGACAGGGTCATAGGGGAACGTAAATCTATGTGGGATTAGTTCTAACTGCATCCGAATATTGCCAAAATGGTGCTCCTAATAAATGACTGTATTTCTTTTGAAGTTCGGCTCATGGCTCATGAATTAATTAGGGCATCTTTCGGAAACTTCACAGATGTAACTTAAACACAGAAAGTATGTATTGCAGGTATGAAAATTTAATATATCTGGTTAAGAGCCTTTAGAAGACCTGGAAAATAAGCTGCTCCTCAAACTTTAGGAACTGATATTATAAGAGTGAACAAACATTAAAAAGCTAAGACATAATTGAGTCCAGATCTTACGTTTATCTAAGCAATTAATTCAGGATAAAGCCAAGTGCAGTGCATATACAAGGACAATTCAAGGATTTTTTTATGACTTATCCTTGATACAAGTCCAACCTAAGACATTTCGAAAACTATTCTTATTCCAGCAGAGAAATGACATCAGAGAATGACAGCGACAATATGGGAAGTCGGCATTTGAAAATACAGGAGAGAAAAAAAAAATACTTACCTTGTAAGTATTTATTAAGTGTGTACTGCAATCCATAAAAAACCGTTTCCTCATATTTGACCTTCCTTAATTTGGAGTTCTCCGTTTTCTTTTCACGACATTCAAAGTAGGAATAAACTTTGGTTGTGTTGGGTGGATACTGTTTGTAATGTGTCACCTACAAGAAGATAACCCTGAGTTACATAACACAAAATGACAGCATTTAGTACACATTTAGTTCCGATATAAAATTGGTAGCATCTAAAATAGAAAAGATGAGTTTCTCTCTTTGTTAACTACATTACCGAATGTTTTAAAATCCAGTATTAACAAAGGGCCGGGGTGCTGTTTTTGAGTGTTTAATGAGTGTTTAATACACTGCCATTATTATTACTTAGGACCACCACACTGGTCCTGTTGTGGTCTGCCAGCAGCCTGCCGACTTGGCAGCGGAGTCGGACAGTGAGGAGGCTGGGGAGGACAATGGGCCAGTCCTGGAGTCCGGGGAAGGCCAGACGAGGGCTCTGCGTCGGAGGCCGAGATGGGCCCAGGGCCATCTGGGAGTGATGCACGGACTCCGGAGCCTCCAGAGGCAGACAGCAGAGAGGCAGAGGAACAGGAGGAGCCTGTTCCTAGTGAACGCCTGTGAAGAGCTGCCAGAAGGCAAGAGCAGCTAAAGCAAAAAGGACAACTCGGGAGTAAGGCCAGGAGATGATTGGCCACTCCCTTAATAAGGCTTAAAAGAGCAGCAACGAGCCGTTGGGTTCTTTGTAGAAAAGCAACGTTGATTCCAGTGCTTTTTGTCAGCGTCTCTTGAACATTGTGGGGTTTTTACCAAGAAAAGCCTTTGGCAGGTTGCCAAAGACATCAAAGGTTGGTGATAAGGCCGAGGATTTGGTTATTAAGAATTTTGTTTTAGACTAAGCTGAGAATGAATTAATTCTCAGCTGTTTTAATAAAATAAGTTTGTTTATTTTATTTTATTTATTCGATTTATATGGCGCCCTTTCTCCGGAGACTCAGGGCGGCTTACAATGCGTTAAGCAATAGCTTTCGTACTTTTGTATATACCTGCTTAATAGGGCTTTCGGCCCTCCCTAAGCGGTGTTCTTTTTTATACAAAGTCAGCTTATTGCCCCCACAATCTGGGTCCTCATTTTACCTACCTCGAAAGGATGGAAGGCTGAGTCAACCTTAAGCCTGGTGAGATTTGAACATGCAGTAATTGCAGGCAGCTGGTGCTACTTAATAGCACTTTAGTCTGCTGCGCCACCAAGGCTCTTGTTCAGGACTGAATTGTGTTTGGTAATCACTACTTGGGCCTAGGTCACAACAGGTCCTAAGTAGAGGTAGTCCCCAACTTACGACCACAATTGAGCCCAAAATCTATCTTGCTAAGTGAGAAATTTGTTAAGCGGGTCTTGCCCCCATTTTACGGTTTTTCTTGCCACATTCGTTAAGCGAATCGCTTCAGTTGTTAAAATTAGTAACATGGCTGTTAAGAGAATCTGGTTCCCCTCCCTCCCCCCGTTGACTTCGCTTGTCAGAGGGTCACAAAAAGGGGATTATGTCATTGTGGGATATTGCAACTGTCATAAACGTTAGTCGGTTGTCAATCACAGAATGAAAATCACATGTCCATGGGGATCCTGCAACGGTCGTAAGTGTGAAAAATGATCATAAATCTTTTTTTTTTCCAGTGCAGTTTTGTAACTTTGAACGTTCACTGTGAACTGTTGTAAATTGAGAACTACCTGTCTCAATATTATGCAATGGGGATGTGTGAGCCCCACCCTCTGCATCTCTGTTTATAAAATGCTAGCTACCTATGGAATTACCTCCCTTCTTGAGATCAAGGCTGATATATTTTATGCATCTTTGGCTGGTGAGTTTTTTAAAAAAATGCATAGCACATCTCTTTTAATATCAACTGTCCCCAAAACATTAACTCTCCCAGTATTAATTTTAAGAGAATTGCTTATATTCTGCTTTATTCCTTTTGATTGTAAATTTGGAACTAGGCAAACTATTTGAGAACTTAAAAAAAAAAAATCAAAACATTTTGAAATAGACATTTAATTCCAAAATCTAATCTAACATCTCATGCAGTATTTATAATTTCCCCCTGGAGTTTTTGTTTTCTTAAGTCAATATATATGTTTCTCTACTTAAAGAAAGCTAGAGATTGGTCCATATTTCCAATCAATCTGATTTAAATACCTTTGGGGCGGGGGAGACTTTTCCATGCAGGTATCATCAGTGTTATTTAAAGCTTATTTCAGACATTCCTCTTAGATCTTTTTAAAAACTGGGTTAGACAGTTTTGGAAAGCTATTAAAAAAAAAACAGCCACCGGCCTCCAGAATCTGCAAATGTGAGAATGATTTAATAAAAGATAGGTCTTGCTATTTATTTTGTTCACCCCGTCTATTCTTTTTTTTTTTTTAAGATTTAATTTTCAGGAAAATATTAACGAGTTGGATATACCCCCCCCCCCCAAAATTGATTTCCCTTTGTCTCTGTATAAAAAGGTAAATGGCATTTTAATTAATTTGTATCACGATTGTAACTTATGGTAAACATTTGTGTTTCTGATGTAACCTATAGTTGTAACACTAGAGACTAGCTGACTAAATACCAGGGTATATATTAGTGGAAAAGCACAGGTCAGTTTGTATCAATATAAAATTACAGAAATAACCTAAAAGGATATACATACATACTGTAAATATCGGGCCCAATATGCCAAATTGCTGCTTCTTTTCAATACCCTTTTCATAACCACCTGTCCTGTTAGCAGATGGTGACTATTTTGGTCTTTTAAGTTTTAATCTACTTTGGAAGGGACGGGGTGTTTAAAAGTAAAATTTAAAATTATGAATTAAGACATATTATGGGTTTTTACCAGCGCTCTTTTCATAAGCTAACCGGGGTAAAAGATTATACAATAAAATATGGCAGCATCCAGAGAGAAAATAGCTTTATTTATTGGGGAAAAGCAACTGTGCTTTTAATAACTTCTGTGGGGTACAGGTAGTCCTCGACTTACAACCGTTCGTTTAGTGACCGTTCAAAGTTACAGCGGCCCTGAAAAAAGTGACTCTCAACTCTTCTTCATGTTTGCAACCATTTTGATCATGTGATCAAAATTCAGGCGCTGGGAAACTGACTCACATTTATGACGGCTGCAATGGCTTGTGATTGGCGACCTTCCGAGCAAAATCAATGGGGGGGAAGCCAGATTCACTTAACAACTGTGTTAACTCGTTTAACAACGGCAGTGAATCGCTTATCCACTATGTGGCAAGAAACGTCATAAACTGGTTGGTAAAACTCACTTAACAACTGTCTCTCTTAGCGATAAGAAATTTCCGGGGCTCAGTTGTGGTCGTAAGCTGAGGATTACCTGTACTGGGAAAATAGGGAACTTTTCCTTACTAAGCCAGTCTGTAAAAAAAACAGTACGTTGAATGATAATAGCCTTTTATGTTTTAATAACAGCATCTGAAAAAGGGAGTCATTTCTTTTTTTCTCAAAAGCTAGTTAACAAAAGGATTTCGGAGCAGCAATTCCATGGGTAAGCAACTTCAGGGAATGTTAATGGTGCTAATACCCATCAGAAGCTGTGACAACATTGTTTATCTGCCAAGAAAAATCTTCTGTAATAACTATACACGCACACACACAGAGCAACAGCCAACCTCTGTGTACATCAAACTTTAGTGGTAAAAACATGTGCTTTGTATTTTAAAAAAGGGAAAACTCTGTCATATCTACATCTTCAGACTATCTATTCAGCTTCCTTTCAAATGTGACTGATTACGGCTCCCATTATCCCCAACTTAAATAATCCAAGACCGAGTGGCTGTGGTTTCCGACATCCCGATATAGTCAGCTGGTGCCATCGCTGACTATTGGGGGCGAAGTATTGGCCCCCACGGAGAGGGCTCGCAACTTGGGTGTCCTCCTGGATTCACGGCTGTCTTTAGAAGAGCACTTGACGGCCGTGACCGGGAGGATTTTTCATCAGGTTCGCCTGATTCGCCAGTTGCGTCCCTTTCTGGATCGGGACTCGTTACGCACGGTCACTCATGCCCTCGTCACCTCCCGTCTGGACTATTGTAACGCTCTCTACATGGGGCTCCCCTTGAGGAGCACTCGGAGGCTCCAACTGGCGCAGAGTGCGGCCGCGCGGGTGGTGATGGGAGCGACGTGGCGCTCCCATGTAACGCCTCTCCTGCGCGAGCTGCACTGGCTCCCGGTGGTCTTCCGAGTGCGCTTCAAGGTTTTGGTCATCACCTTTAGAGCGCTCCATGGCTCAGGACCTGGTTATCTACGGGACCGCCTGCTACCACCAATAGCCTCCCACCGACCAGTACGCTCCCATAGAGAGGGGCTCCTCCGGGTGCCGTCGGCCAAACAATGTCGACTGGCGGCCCCCAGGGGGAGAGCCTTCTCTGTGGGGGCACCTACTATCTGGAACGAGCTCCCCCCCGAGATACGGAGGATTCCGGATCTGCGTACCTTCCGTCGCACGCTGAAGACGTTCCTATTCCAGCAAGCCGGCCTGACCTAAACTTCTCCTCTTTTAAATGGGAATTTTAAATTTGGTTTTAAATTATTGGGGTTTTAAATATGGTTCAGCCAAATTTATCTAACTTGTTTTATTTCTATTTTAAATTTTGTATTGATATGTTTTATTTCATGGCTGTTCACCGCCCTGAGTCCTTCGGGAGTAGGGCGGTATACAAATCTAATAAACTAAACTAAACTAAACTAATTGGGATAAAACTGGCTTTATGTGAAACCAAAATTTCACATAAAGGCCATAAAGGGAAAGATACAGATTACATACTCTAGTGTAGGTTAATTTTAATTTTAAAATATAAGAGTATCACTTTGCGGAGGAACTAGATTTTTACGATTCCTTGTCAGAAAAATCCAGTTCAAAATTGAAGCACCAATGGCTGTACTTTTTCATTTTCCACAATTCTTTCCTCCTCTTTTTTCCCCCACCGTTACAGTATTCCCAAAACATTTGGCAAATTCACCTTACGCTGAGAAACCTGAGCAGGATTTGTTTTTCATTTTCCCAAACCCTGTCTTATACAATTGTTTTCAGAAAACTGCAGAACTGGCAGAAACAAGGCAATAATTAGGAAGGCGGTTCTGACTACCAGATATAAATTCTGAATTTATTCACGAAGAATTATGACACTGCAGATAGGCTAAAAAGTAGGCCAAAGCACTTGTCTCTTTCTCCAGAAGACTCTATTCATAAAGAACTATATTCATAAACAATGTAGAGCAAGGAGGTCCAACCTTGGCAACTTTTAAGACTTGTGGACTTCAGCTCCCAGAATTCCCATGGGTGGCTGGGGAATTCTGGGAGCTGAAGTCCACAAGTCTTAAAAGTTGCCAAGATTGGGCACCCCGGAGGTAGATCCTTTATACATTTAACTTATCCTCTGCATTTTATAAAATTGAGAAGGTGCTCAAAAGGTTAAATGAGGATCAAGGAACCAGTAAGGAGGGCCTGTCAAACAACATCAAATTCGAAGGCCCAAATATTTTCTCTTCAGCTTATGTGTCAGGAATTCTGAGCTTGTTCCAAAATCCAGGATCTTGGATTATGGTTTAATACGTAACTAGCTTACTTCGGCATTTGGAATTTAGTGCATACACCATTATCACCCTTCCTTTTTATTTCCTGTATTTTCCTTTTCTCAATTAATTCATTTTTAGTATTTGGGGGTTCTGGCTTTATTTTATTTATTTATTTTTTTTAAATTTGATTTATATGCCACCCTTCTCCGGAGACTCAGGGCGGCTTACAATGTGTTAAGCAATAGCCTTCATACTTTTGTATATTTATACAAAGTCAGCTTATTGCCCCCACAAACTGGGTCCTCATTTCACCTACCTTAGAAAGGATGGAAGGCTGAGTCAACCTTGAGCCTTGGAGAGATTCGAACCAGCAGTAAATTGCAGGCAGCTGTGTTAATAACAGGGTGCTTAGACCACTGTACTATCAAGACTCCAATTGTTAATCCAATGGATAGATTCCTCAGGATATTTTGGTATCAGCAGGACTGGCCCAGTAGAATCGACCTATCTGGTACATGCAGCCCCAGCAAAATCAGCCAAGAGGGGGAAAAAGTGAGGGCCCACAATTTCTTTTTCCCAGTTAAGATCCCATTCTAGAGAATAATTTCCCCTTCAAGGACAGCTAACAGGCCTTGTCATTTGGCCTTCTGGAATTTGCAAAAAAAGGAACTGTTCTAGGTACTATTTGGGTATTAAGAAAGCACTACCATCCGCATCTTCATTTGTGGTGGATCTTTCTAACAAGCAAGACTATTTGGGTTTTAATATTGTTTTTGTGATCCCATGATAAAAAAAATCTCTGGCAGTCTTAGGTGGATTACGGCATACAACAAGCTGGCAGGGAAAAAGGAAAGGCGCTTTTCCTATCAATTCCCCTGCCCAGATATACGTAGCTTGTGCTTTCCAATACTTCCGGCCCATAAGCTGGACAGACTAAGTTGTGTCTTCCTGCAGAAGGAAATCTATCCTATGTCTTAAAAAAAAATAAAAAATCCAAGAGGATTGTAAGCTTTAAAATCCCGGTGAAGTTTGCTTCTGAATCTACTGGTTGATTTATCTATCTCCCTCCCTCCCTCCTTGTCTGTTTATCTATCCATCTCTATCTATCCATTCATCCATCTACCTTTCTTCCTATCTACCTACATGCTGCTTAAAGATCATGGAGCTTATTCCTTTGCACAGCACATCTAACTGAATATGTTGAGAAAGACTTGCATTAGAAGTTTAAACATTGCCCCCGCCCCCCATCTCAGTCAAACTTAACTTTCCTGCTTCCTTTGAAGCATTCAAACTGTAGATTTGCATGTTGTATAACTCCTAGCCTCGGGGGACTCTGTGACTGGCACAACTTGGTAGAGCCTCCTGTGGATATATGAAATGCTTTCTGCACCAGGAGTTCCTCTTCTCCAAATAAATATCTTGGGAGTCCAATATATAAACTCTTACTGTAATTATAACGCAGCGCATAAAATATACACAAACACAGCCGATAAGGGGATCCCATCAAAAGCCCTAACGATTTAAAAAAGGAAAAAAGAAAAGCCCTCCGCTATCAATATTTAAAAATCAATTTCTTTTTTCTTTTTTTTTTGGCCTTCTACAATCATGCAAATAATGACATTTTTGGAAGCCCAACTGGTTTGATCTGGCTAAAAAGCTGACACCTGTAACTTTGAAAATACTAGCAGCTTTTTATGAGACTTTTATAAATTCTTCCTCCTAATCAGTAAAAGAGTCGGTGCTCCGATGGAGAGCAAGAAGCGAAATTACTCCAGCTTGCAAACCCCGGCTTGCGGGAAAAACCCAGGTCAGTAGTTAATTTCTCTTTGTAAGCAACATCAAAAGGAGTTCGGACTATAATTCAAGGTTAACTCACTTTGCACCAACCGAAGAGGTGCAGAGAGGAGGGCCAAACTTTCCCGAAGTTATAAAGAATTTTATGTTTCGGTTTCCCGGGGAAGGCGGGCAGTTCAGGTTCTTTGAAAGGCGTGAGTTACTCCGCATCTTCCAAGTTTCACTTTGCATCTTGCTCAATTGCTTCTCCTCTCTTTCTCTTTCTGCGTACTTTCCATGTCATTGGAAACTTCCCCAGCAAGGGCGAAGGAGGAGAGGAACCCCTCTGGGCTCTCTTGCTGCCCAGCACTCTGGTCTAGCCACGTGCAAAAAGTCCCAGGGATCCATCTTCTGCAACCCAAGGGGGGTGGGGTTGGGTTGCATTTACAGGGCCAAAAGCGGGGGTCGGCCCCGTCCATCATCTCTTCCCCCTTCCTTCCCCAGTTTCTCCAAGGGGGCTCCCCCAAACTCCAGGCTACCTGCACGCGCCCCCCATTCCCCAAATCCTTCCCCCACCTCCCTAGAGTTTCTCCAAGGGGCTCCTCCAACCTCCAGGCTACCTGCAGACGCCCCCCAATCATTCCCCCACCTCCCTAGTTTCTCCAAGGAGGCTCCCCAACCTCCAGGCTACCTGCAGGCGCCCCCCAGCATCCCAATCGCTCCCTCTCCTTCCCTCCAGTTTCTCCAAGGGGAGCTCCCCAAACTCCAAGATACCTGCAGGCACCCCACCCCCCAAATTGCTTCCTCTCCTCCCTAGAATTTCTCCAAGGGGGCTCCCCAAACTCCAGGCTACCTGTAGGCGCTTCCCTCCCACCCCCAATTGCTCCCTCTCCTTCCCTCCAGTTTCTCCAAGGGGGGCTCCCCAAACTCCAAGCTACCTGCACGCGCCAGCACCCCCAAATTGCTCCCCTCCTCCCCAGTTTCCCCAAGGGGGCTCCCCAACCTCCCGGCACCCCCCCCCCCCCCCCCCACCCCCCAAATAACTCCCCCTCCTCCTCCTCCTCCCTAGAATTTCTCCAAGGGCCCTCCCTCCAACCTCCAGGCTAAGTGCAGGCGCCCCCCACCCCCAAATCCCTCCCCCTCCTCCCTAGAGTTTCTCCAAGGGGGGGGGGACTCCCCAACCTCCAGGTTACCTGCAGGCGCCCCCCACCCCCATATCCCTCCCCCTCCTCCCTATAATTTCTCCAAGGGGGGGGACTCCCCAACCTCCAGGTTACCTGCAGGCGCCCCCTTCACCCCCAAGGCGGGGGGGGGGAAGGAAGGTTCCCCCCCCACCCCAACCTGCGCCTATGGGGAAATGGGGAGGGGGAGGTTAAGAGAGAGGCTGGAACTCAGGGATCCAGACCCACGCGCCCCTGGCCCCCTCCCCAGCCCTTTTAGCGACCCCCTTATTCCCCCCCCCACTTTTTTGCAGCAAGTCAACGTCACACAGGTCGCCCCGGAGACCCCCACCCCACCCCGAGATCAGCCTGGGGGGGGCAAATGGGGGGGGTAAGAAGAGAGAGCAGCTGGGCAAGCGTGGAAGGAAAGCCAGGCCAGCTGGGGAGGGGGGATAATGGGGGGACCCCCCTCTTTCTCCCCAATTTGATCTCCCCCCCCCACCGGGTCTCTAACCTTGTAGGAGTCCGTGGCCAGCAGGATGTTGAACTCGGCTCCGAGCGCGGCGCTTTCCATGCTGGCTGGGGCCCGGAGGAAGCGGCGCAAGGGCGGCGGAGGAGCGGCTGGGAAAGCTTGAAGGGCACCGCGTTCCAAGGCTCGCCCCGCCGGCGAGTCTCCCCTCGAGCTCAAAGGCGCAAAAGAGGCTCCGCCGCCTCTCGCCTTTGCCCACCCTCCGGGACGGCGGGGCGGGGCCTTGACGTCACGCCGGCCCTCGGCCCGGGATTGGGCGACATCCCCCGAAAAGAGAGGAAAGGGGCGGGGACGCGCGAAGAAGGAGCTGTGAGGTCACTCTCAAACCACCTCCCCCCCCCCGGCCGCCGCCGCTCGCCGCTCGCCGCTCATTGGCTCCCGCTCGCGCAGAGTGGGAGGGGGGGGAGAGGGAGGGACGTCACGGCCCCAGCGAGAGTCCTCGAAGACGCCTTCGCGCGTCTCTTGTTTGGGTTCGTAATTTTACGGGAAAAAAAAGGGGAGGGGCGGAGTCGGAGGGTTTTGACGTCACGCGCGGGAGAAGTTGGGGTTCGTCGGTGGTTGGACGGGATAGGGTGGTTCGGGAGACGGGACGGGCGTGAGGTGACGCGCGCGCCCGCGCGGGGTGACGGCCGCGGGGATGGGGGGGGGAGAGGGAGAGGGAGAAAGCGCGCATGCGCAGCCGCGGTGAAGCGGGTTTTCTGTTTTCGATTCCTCACATTTGAGGCGAGTTGGGGAAGGTCGCCTGCACGTGTGAACGCGCCCGCTTTTCTCCCCGCGTCTGTGAGGAGAAGAGAAAGGCGCCGGTTTTAAAAAAAATAATAAAGTACCCACACACACCGCCTCATTTTTTTAAAAAAAAAAAAACAGAAATTGACATTTGAGCCTCTGAGGAGAGACGGAAACCCACCCGGGGGAATAAACCATGAAGGAAAAAAAAAATTATGGGTCCCTATAAGCCCATGTTTGTCAAGCTCGTTTGCTGGAAGGGAAGGTGGAGGGGGGGAAATCCTTAACTCCCAAAAATCCCCCACTGGAAGTAATGTGTGGGGAATTTTGAGAATTAAGGTTTCCCCCCCCCTAAAGCTGCTGAGATTGAGAAACATTAAAATAAGATAGTAAAATAAACGAGATAAGCTTTATTGTCACTTTTTTTCTGTTAACACACTGGCACATATTTAAAAAAAATTGTAACGCAGGCTCTCAAAAGTGTACACACTTTAGAGCAGGCGTCAGAATTTTTTTATGTGTGCGTATACATATATTGTATGTGTATGTATGAATATATCATATAGCAAATGTGATGAATGTACTAGTGGTTGGCCTGACGGGAAGGATACTGTAAAATCTCCATTCCCTCCCCAATCCAAGGGAAGGTTACGGCAAAATCTCCATTCCCACCCCACTCTAGGGGAAGGATACTGTAAAATCTCCATTCCCTCCCCAATCCAAGGGAAGGTTACGGCAAAATCTCCATTCCCACCCACTCTAGGGGAAGGATACTGTAAAATCTCCATTCCCTCCCGAATCCAGGGGAAAGTTACTGCAAAATCCCCATTTCCTCCGGTCAACTGGGACTTGGGAGGTAGAGAATAGGTGGGGGTGAGGGCCAGTCAGAATTTTTACTACCTGTTCTGCAAACTACTCAAAATGTCCACTACCGGTTCTCCAGAACTGGTCAGAACCTGCTGAAACCCACCTCTGATATATGTGTGTGTGTGTTGTGTGCATACATACATGTACATACTTATTCATATGCTATATATATGATACATAGACACACACACACATATATATACACATACACACATATTAAGCCATAACATGGTTTATTTTTGGCTCAGTATGAGGCTAGTCTAGTACAAACCTGGTTTACTGTTGGCACAGTATAAAGTGTTACCTAACTTTATCGAGCTGTGTACCTGAAGGGCTAACCTTTAGGCTTTAATGTCCCATTTCAATCTGGGTGCCAAAAAAACCTGGCCTTCGTGCAACCTGTAAAACTCCCTTCAAAACCTCGGGGAGGGAGGGATTAGGAAAAGAAAACACCAATTCTGTAGTAGGTTACATAACACAAGTCAACAAATTCCTTTTTCCCCACAGGCAGGGCTGAGATTCAGCAATCTCTTGCAACATCTATTTGGCAAGAAAGTATTACATTAAAGCCTAAATGTTGACTTTAATCTTATCTGACTGGTCACATTTACTCAGGTTTTGTTCATAGCTGTTGATAATTGCAGAGTTGCTTTGCCACTTGATTGATTTTCGATTCCTATAAAACCACGTAAGTTTTCTCCATGACAATCTGTCCGTAACCTCTTTCAGTTTCCCATCTGTGAGTGAATCCGTTCCAATTTACTGTTAGTCCTTTACTTTCTCCTTCCACTTTTCCTAGCATTACAGCCTTCCCCCAGAGAGTTGGGTCCTTTGCGTATTTGTTCATTTGCATCCCACTTTTATTATTTTTCCACAAATGAAGGCGAATATACATCTCCCAGGATAATGTTGCAGGCTCCAATCTTGTGGTTCCCAACACCCCACAGGGAGGTAATTTGATTTTTAATGGGGGCAATTTGGAACCTTGTTTAAACCAAGTTAATGGCCTTTTAGCTTCCTCCGTGTGAGTAGGAGTTCACTTTTTGAATAGTACAAATTATATCTCACAGGAGGGGGCATCAGGATTTTAGAGATGCTTAGGTGGGGCATGGCCAAAAAAAGGAGGGGGCATCAGGATTTTAGAGATGCTTAGGTAGGGCATGGCCAAAAAAAGAGATGCTTAGGTGGGGCATGGCCAAAAAAAGGTCTAGAGGCTTAGTCTTCCGAGCTTTTGGACTCATGCTGAAGCCCATCCTCAAATAATTTCTCTATAGCAGAGTGTGTGTGCTTTGGGCTATTCTGTGGGTGGTATTTATATGGTGCTTAGTTGTGCATGGCTTTTTAATTATTGATTGAGGTGTTGATGGCTGGCTATTAAATCCTTGGCTGTTGTTTCCTTGTGCTGCCAAGCCCCGTCTCTTAAATATTTGATAAGCTGAGGATAAATCTGCACTTCTGTTTCCCAGGTTTCAATCACTTCCCTGGCTGTTTTTGTACCTGCTCGTCCAACAATCTTAGTAGCTGCAAAATGGAATGTATTTATTATTTTTACAAATAACTCAAGGTGGTGAACATATCCAGCGCTCTTTCCTCCTCCTATTTTTCCCACAACCTCAGTCCTGTGAGGAGTGTTGGGCTGAGACAGACTGACTGACTCAAGATCATCACCAGCTGACTTTCATGGCCACGGCAGGACTAGAACTCACAATCTCTTGCCTTCTAGCCTGGTGCCTTAACCACTAGCCCAAACTGGCTATGTTTTATGACTGAAATGTCATAAAACTTTGCCTGTGGTCAATTCTTTATGTTTGGCTGTACAATACAGTTCACCATGAGCTACTTTCAAGGCAGATACATCCCCGAATATCCCTGAATTTTTAAGAATTTTTCCAGTGAAGGCAGTACATTAAAAGCTTTGCCTTGAAGGCACTGATGAATCTGTTAAGGAAATAATGAGTTTCCTCTGAATATGAAATTTTCAGTCTCATTTCAGCCCTGCCTCTCTCTCTTGCTATGAATAATTTTCTAGTAAAACATATTCCCTCCAGTTGAAAAAAACTAAGCCACAGTACGTGTTCTGCCTCTGTTTCCTGCCTAATTGTGAATGAACGTCCTATAATATCTAACTGAGGTTACTCATGCAATCATTATGCTTTTCAGTCCAAAATACATCGCTTGTGTGGGGATTAACACTTTGAAATTCTGTAACATTTATAACGTCTATTCCTTTCACATTGCCTTGAATTCAAATTCTCTTACAATGGCTTAATTTTTAACTTTCATCCTTGTTGCAGGATGAATGTTTAAGTTCTCCTGCTGTCATTCGAACAGTGTCCCTTCATGCAATAAGAATTAGGAGCCCTGATGGCGCAGCAGACTAAAGCACTGTTATTAACATCAGCTGCCTGCAATTACTGCAAATTCAAATCTCACCAGGCTCAAGGTTGACTCAGCCGTCCATCCTTTCTAAGGTAGGTAAAATGAGGACCCAGATTGTGGGGGCAATAAGCTGACTTTGTATAAAATATACAAAAGTATGAAGGCTATTGCTTAACGCATTGTAAGCCACCCTGAGTCTCCGGAGAAGGGCGGCATATAAATCAAAATTTTAAAAAAAGAAAAAAAAAGAATGGAGACTGGGAAACTATAATTGTAAACATATACACACACTCAGTGGTGGGCTGCTGGGGTTCTGCAGGGGTTCGGGAGAACCTCTAGCTAAGATTCTGTGCAGTTCGGAGAACCCCCAAATCCCACTCCTGGCTGGTCCCGCCCGCCCCGCCACTCCCAGGAGCCCCCACGCGGCCTGTTTTGGATGCAGTTAAGTGCACGGTGCACGTAGAGGCTGGGGGAGGGAAGTTCGGGAAGGGGCCTCCGGCGCCCGAGGATGCCATTTTCACCCTCCCGGAGGCTCAAGGAAAGCCTCTGGAGCCCAGGGAGGGCACCCCCCCACCGCCGTGGTGCAGGAGGCCGACTAGGCCACACCCACCATGGCCACGCCCACCCAGCAACTGGGCAGAGAATCCCTTGCTAAATTATTTGAAGCCCACCCCTGCACATGCTCACAGACACACTCACTTTTTGATAATATTCCATGTACAGGTAATCCTTGACCAGAGGTGGGTTCTACTTACCTTTCCTGCCGGTTCGCAACGGGACCGCGTCCGCACGCTTCTGCACATGTGCAGATCACCCATGATGACATCCGAGCGGGTGGGCGGAGCCTCCCGCCAGTTTTACTACCGGTTCTAAAGAACCGGACAGAACCAGGAGCAACTGTCCTTGACTCACAACACTTTGTTTAATGACTGTTCGAAGTTACAACAGCAACAGGAAAAAGTGACTTATGGCTGTTTTTCACACTTACGACCCGATGGTGAAGTGATCAAATTTCAGCCGCTTGGCAACTGACTCATATTTATGACGGTATATGATCGATCCCCTTTTGCGACCACCTGACAAGCAAAGCCAACGGGGAAGGCGGATTCACTTAACCACGGTGTTGCTAACTTAGTGTTTCACTTTTTAAAATATGGCAAGGAAGGTCGTAAAACGGGGCAAAGCTCATTTAACAAAGGCCTCGCTTAAGCAACC